CTGGGTCCCCCCCCCCAACCTCCCCACTATTTCCGTCGCATTTGTCTAAGTCCTCGAGGCGGAGAGAAAGGCGCTGCCATGTGGCCTCGGTCATGTGGGTTCGTGACGTAAGGGGTAAAAGAATCTTGAAGTCATGGGGCTTCCTCTGACCTAGATTCTATCTCTCCGTCACCGGCAGAATCGTTGATTAATGCCTACAGTTCAAAATAGTCATTTTGACTGACCGGAGTCTATGGTGGGTATGAACTATGTGAATAGGCGGGTTTGGAGAACCCTCGCCTAATTTCACTTTTCAGATCGTATTCAAAATGGCTGACTTGTGGCCATTTTATTTTAATGAATGGGCTTCTAGACCCATATCTCTGACTTGCTTTGACTGATTATGTTCAAATTTTTAATATTCATTATACATCATATCATATATATACAGATATATTGGTTTGACGATCCTATTCAAAGTGGCCGAATGTTGGCCATTTTTGTGCTAAAAAATTCATCAAATATCAAGCATTTCTTATAACATACATTAGACATTACGGGTTCCTGATGCACGTCCTTTTGTTTTTCAGATTGAATTCAAAATGACTGACTGGCGGCCATTTTGTTTTAATGATTGGGCTTCTAGAGCCATATCTCTGACATGCTTTGACTGATTATGTTCAAATTTTATATATTCGTTATACATCATGTTATAGATATATACATGTATGGCTGATTTTGTTTTAATTAATGCTGTTCCAGGGCAATATCCCTCAATAAGTACTCGTTTGACGATCAGATACAAATGTCAATCATAATAATATTCCAGCTATATTACTAGAAACAAAACTATATATCTTAAATTTGATAACTAACAGGGACTGTGCCATGCATGGCTTGTTTCCTTTTATTGTAGTCATTAAAGCTAAAGAAGTGGACAAACTTAATTTCAAGACTCCAATGTCAAAAGAGAAAAATGAAACTGACGATAAAGAAGATCATCCTGATAAGATAGTAGAATGTACGGGTGAGCCAATGGAAACACAACCATCAACTAATGTGGAATGTAATGTCAATCACATAAAATCAATCTCTCTTACAAAGAAGGAAAAGAAAACGTGTGAAGAGCTGAAAATTGATGAGGATGTAATTAATGTGAGCAAGGCACTAGCGGAACATACACACTACAAAAAGATTGTGAAGCGGTCTCGACTAGATGGTTTTCTTGACCGTCGACAAAAACAATTTGCTGTTGAAATGAAAGAATATGACGAGAAGATGAAAAAGTACTTGGCATACAAGAAAGCATTGGAAGAAAAAAAGAATTTAGAGGAACGCATTTTAATGGATAAAAAAAATCCTCCTTTGAATAAAGTTTTGCCAGTTATCAAAAAGGAATTAGATGACACTGCATTCACAAGATTGAAAAGCCAGAAAGTCAATGTACTTCTGAATGGGGAAAATGCAGATGATATGAAAACATTTACAAGATGTTACTCGCCGTTATGTGTTAAACTGATTTCAAATAGAAATGATTATGTGTGTTATTCCACACAGTGTACTGGTAATCAGGGTTTACAGTCAAAGCATCTTTCAAAGGCCAGTCTCAATAACAAGGAAGATATGATTAAAACTGCCATTAATTCCTGTGTTGTGTCAACTAGCAATACCAGTATCATTCCAACTAGTAATGTATTAAGTATAGCACAGTCACCATCTAGTGTTAACTCTCAGCCAGTCACATCGACTACATCACTGTCTCCGCTCACTCAGGTCCCTAAATTGATTACTGGTACTCTTGCCAGTCCTAAAAATATTCTACCAAACACAACAAACTCAGCAGCTGACAATGTAACGTCATCATTAGTACTTCCACCCATTCCGAAGCCGAATTTAAATATTGTAGTTCCATCCAGTGTGTCAAAATCATCGGATTGTGGTCCTACCATCATAAGTGGATTGAACACTAGTCTGGGCAGTCGGGCTATTGTATCATCTGCCACTGTCCAAACGTCCAGTACTATACCGTTCACCACCTCTCTTGCGTTTACTAACTCCAAGTCTGGTCTGCAAACGATAACCACTCTACAGCATGGTACAATGGTTCAGACAACTCAAAACAAACAAACTGTAACACCATCTGACTTGAATATAAAGTCTGTATCAATAGGTACCACTAATAGTCCTAGCTTGATACCCAGTGTAACTAGCAGTATTAATCCCAATAAACCAACCCTAGTTACCTCACAAAACACTGTGGTCAGTAGTGCAATGGCTTCTTTGCTCAAGTCAATCAGTACCTCACTTATATCAGTTGATTGTCCTAAAGAATACACATCTGCAGGTAAAATTTACCTTGCAAAGTTTATGCGTGCCAGAAAATCCACCAAAAAATTGGCCAAGCCACTGCCAACGTGTTGTAAATTTACTGCAAAGAGTGGGTTGAAAAGCATATTTGTACTACGTCCTGAAGAGTTGAGAAAGATCAGTCGCCGGGGAGGGAAATATGAGGTACCATCCTTCAACTATAATGCAAAAACTACTAACGTAAACTGGAACTATCCAGCACCAAGGTGTAGATTTAAAACTGCATGGAGATACAGGGTACAGACATTAAGGTCATTATCAGCGGCAGGGTTGTTACTTCGTATAGTGTGGGCATGTGTACGATGGGACGACTTAGCAGTAAAGCCACCATTTGGCGGAAATAATACCGTGACCACAGAAGATGATATCACTACAACTGAAATAGTTAAGAAACGAGATGTGCCACCAGACCACCTGAGATCAGAATATCTTGTACGAAAAATTGTCTGCCCCCTTGGGGGTATTATGAAAGAAGGTGAGTTGAATAAAAGTCAGTTTGGTTTTGATCTGAACAGTACATGTGCATGTTGTTGATGTGTGAATCAAGACTGCTAAATCTGCACAGCAAAAGCAGAGGATTGAATTAGGAATAATGTTCATCCCTGGAAATTTGCATAATCTCATATTTGGTACATACAAATTAAAAGTGAATAAATTGATGATGATCATTACAGGCATTTTTTTTTTACCTTGAAAATTCAAAGTGCTCTGAAATGCACATTTTTTCATATTAACAAATAATATAAAAGTACATCACAAACAATAGTGGTAGGTGGCACAGTATTGGTATTTATAAATATGCAATGAATGTACGGGCTTATAATAATAGATTAAGAATTACAGCCTACAATGAAGTAAATTCTTGGTATTTGCCAGCAGTTGTGGTTGCCTTTTTTTAACTACTTTTTAATTATTTTTC